CGCGAAATTTTCATGTTGAATGATTTTTGAACATATAGTCACTGCAAAAAGATTGAAGCTTTAGAGATACAGAACAATTATCTTAACAATGTATATCAAGGTCAAGGACATAAAAGTGGTTGTCTTATTTTTAAATAACTATGGTAGCTCCCCTTTCCTGGGTATATTTTTGAAAATATTTTAAAAACTAAAACAGACCGCCTGTTATAAGTATAGAAAAAGGTTTAGAATGACATCCTTAACAACATATTTCAAGGCATTGAAATCGGCGAGGAAAGCGCACATCTAAACATTTACCCAAACATTTAATTACACAGACTCGAAGAGTATTCCTTCGACTTCAAAATAATTATGTTTATCCGGAAACTATGTACCTATAAACATATGTATTGAGTACTTTATTTTAGAAAATATGTAGTGTATAAGAAATGTTATTTTTTTCCTTCGATTATTGTTAAATTTCCATACACTTTATTAGCAACAGTAGTGCTAGTAATAGTAGTAGTAGTAGTAGTAGAAGATATTAATCCAGACATTAACAGTAGAAATAAGTAACTAGTAACAAGTAGACATTGATAACAGAAGCAGCAGCAATTGTGAAAATAACCATAAAACATTTTGAAACTGAATTTTTCAAAGATTATTAACTGAATATCATATTTTGATGTTATGTAGTCTTAAGTTTTAGGAAATCATTGCGTAATCCACTTTTAATCACAAAATATGTGACCGATAAGTTCAAACACTCGTTGTCTTTAATATTCGATATATTTACATTAAGAATATATATAGCCAATACATATAAAATATTGGCTGTTTAAAATTGTAGTTCATTTGATCATTCACTTAATTAATCTCTATACACGAATTTTTCAGAATGTCTGAAATTCTTTCTTTAAATATTTGACTTTTCATTACAACGTTACATAAAAGTATTTAAAATTTTTGAACTTCTAAATTTACGGGAAATCATACAAGCACATAGTTCATTTTTACAGATAAAACATTTTGTTTAATATAATCAAAGTAAACATTTTATTACTAATATTATAGAATGTTTTTCAACTTGTTTTAAAATTCAAGTTTTTTCTATTCTTAGAAGCTTCATATTTTAAACGACGAAGTAATTCCATACAATGTCAAATTCAACGTAATACATAGAGAAGCAAACAACCTTGAACAACCATTATTTTTCTACAGAAATATGTGCTATTGTTCTTAGGCACTGGCTGATTCACAGATTAGTTAAATGCAGGTACAAAATTATTAATGGAAGACTAAATTTTGTTCAGTTATGAGGTAACTATGAACATATAGTAAGAACAGATGCATTATGTTTTGGAATGGAAATAATAAATAGGAAGTGAAGAAGAATCTGTGACCAGAAGTCCTGAATGTTAGACATTCACATTACTATTGAAATTATTAAGAATCAAACAAATCTCGGATTAGTAAAGCTTTGTTAAAAATGTAAACATCTTCCCATCCTGTACTGCAATCGTAAAAGTACAACAATACTGTTAGTGATAAGACATGATTGGTGTTACTATATTAAAGTATACAATAATGATATACCAACAGTACTATAGAAATTTGTATGCATCTCTTTCTCAATGAAAGATCTAATGAAATAGTAGAAGATAATAGAGTAATAATACTGATAACACTAAGAGTAATGTATCTTTCCTACTTATATCTGTAAATGTTGAAAAATAACGAAGACAGGATATATAGATAATTGGTAAATGCGCCTAAAATTCGAGCGTAGCTGACTAGCTTTCTATATTGATCTTTATATGCTGTTAAACGTCGGAAAGTGGATGTAAGAGTTCAATGTGAGAAATGTCTGTCGATATTCTTCTTTTTTCTAACGAATGAATGTATACAAATTACAAAGTTTAATCATTTTAATGTTGAATAAATCTACTAGAAAATTTATATTGATTACGAAATTATTAGTTCTATTACTCTTTCTTTCTGACAATTTTCTGTAATACATAATTTGAAAGAGAATCACGTTAACAATAAAAAGTTACAATTCTACCTTCCAACATGTAACTATACTAGAAACCATAAATTATCAAGTACGCTGGATTATTTAATTTCATTAAGAATTGCACTTGAACACTATATTTTTAATATAAAAATCGTATCCCCCTTGAGTAACAAATTCCGATGTAAAAAATGTATCAAATATAGCATTGTATAGAATATGGCAGCTAACTAGGATGTGATATAATGATATTGGGGATAAGGTAAAGGCAAAAAATGTAAGATTAAGAATAAGGAACAATGGAGATAATTAAATAAAAAAAGTCAAATGCTAGGGAATATAATTGAAAAGTAATACAAGTAAAAAAAGAAAAGGGGGTAATACTAAATAAAACAATGTAAATATGTAAAAGATATATGTATATCAGAATATAATATTTACTCCGTAGAGTACGTAGACGATAAGAAGAAATGGAAAAAAGCGGGATATATACTGGAGATTCAATGAGAGACAAACAATCCAAGTATGGAAAGTGGGAGAAAGAGGAAAAAGAAAGGTTAGTAAATAGGAAGAAGCTGCAGATTCAAAAATTAATAAAAGCATATAAGCGATAAATAACTGTTTCTTAATAAGTAAAAAAATTGAAGATAATAATGTCGATATATTTTACAATCCTGCAACAGATTTTCCAGTGTATTGAAAAAGTACATAGGATACTTTTCCTATAGACTATAAATAAAAATTATTAAAATAGTTACAAATTAAATTGAATGTAATTTTCTTTCAAGAGCCACATTACTCAATTATGCACCGTAATAAATTAGAAGTAACATTTATATTTAAGAAATGAGTAAGGTACGGATAATTTCTACCGAAAAATAGGATTATTTAATTATTTTTGTTCTTTTTGTTCTTTTTAGATATACAGCCTTATATAACGCTATACAATGGTGAATTATAATATTTTCTAAGAATTCTCCAAATTTATTTACTAAGTACTTTCCAAACCTCGAACACATTAATACATAATACATGGTATGTACAATACAATAGTGTTAATGTTAAACACTCCTATAATTGAATTATATGTTACACACAAAAAATTTGTATTGAATAATGTAAAAGTATAAAAGTGAATAGTGAAATAAAACAAAACAGAAAGAAAGAAAAACCCAGAAAATTCATGCAAAAATCATACCCAAAAACTTCAATCTTCAGCATTATTCCCACACCAGCTGATTTCCAGACCACAGCATGATTTCTTTATTTTTAGAATTCCATAGCAAAAGAAATTCAGTTTTTCCGAGAAAGGTTCTATTTCTAAACAATAAAAGATACAAATTCTTAGTTCCTTTTTGCATAAATTTTCGTTCAAAAAGAATCTGCAACTATTTTTTTAGTAAAATAGGAAATGATAATCAGAAAGATGTAATATTTTATACTTATTAAATCCGAACTTGTTAATTAAACTTTGCTTGAAGCAAAATGTGTTCAAATCGGTAGTCCAGAGGTTTAAATCAGTAATGATTTGTTAGGAATACCATTAATTATCAATCGTAATTTAGTGGTAATTATTTTTTCTATATTCTATCGACATAATTCATACTTCTAACGAAAGCTACTCAAATTACGGAAACTCAATTTGAAAATCAAATCTATCACTCTCCTCTCTTTACTTTCTGTAATTATCTAGCATGATCATTGTATACTCAATCAAATTATATAATACTAACATAAGTTATTATTTGTACTGATTTAAAAGTAATGTGATTAATATGTCCATATATGCGTACATTTAACAAATTTTGGGATACGTTTTATGTTTACATAAAATTTTGTAAGCAGTCAATAATACTACTTACTATTCTTGAAAGAATAATCTCACAAAATTAAAATATTGAAATATATAAAAGGACAAATAACTTTGTATTTATAGATCAATGCGATATTTGCAATAGTTATAAATACTAGATCTCTATGGCCCCATATACATACGACAATGAACATAATATAGTTTTCATTCGTACTGCATTGTCAAATGGAACTAGCCAACTTCGAGTTATCGTTAGAAAGCAATTGTAACAAATATTGGCTTTGCAGGCCAAGTCTCTGAAAGACGCTGTTACTATAGTTTCCTATTATATAGAAACAGTAACAAATATTCTATCAATTAGGAAGTATCTTTAAATATCACATAGTACGTACAGTGCAGCTGTCACGTTAGCTCCATCGAATATCGAGTAAAAAGTGCACGGGAGCAAGGGAACTCTTCCACTGATGATCCTCGGGCTGCTTTAGCTGTTGACGCATGGTCACGCGGTACCAACAAAGGACGGAAGCGAGACCAAACGCGACGGAGTGAGACGGAACTATAGAGAATTTGTTTTCTACCGCTAAGTCTCACTCCGTCGTATTCGGTCTACGTTCTGTCCTTTGTTATTGCCGCGTGCCAATAATGACCATCCATGCGTCGAAATCCGAAGCGGCTTGAATATCGTGATTGGAAGAGTCCTCTTGCTCCTGTGCACTTTTAGCTTGGTGGTCAATGGAGCTAACGTGAGAAAATATAGCGTATAGTAGGTACATAATCGTCGTCTGTCATGAATTTGTGATGCAATTAAGAACCATTTATGTTCACTGGAGTATGTAGGTTGAATTGTAACTGCCGTAATAAGATATTCTGACTCTTTTTATGGAATTCGACCCAAAATATGTATAATATGTCACCCAGAGCATACTGATATTTCGAATATAATTTAAAACGTTGAAAAATCAAACTCTTCAATAATTACAAGAATGAATAATTGAATAGTGAACAATACGTGATTCGTTAAAAGAATGTATGAAAGAAGAATATTCAGTATATCGACAGACACGCAAGGGATGCGGACATTTATGAAATGGATGTTGAAGTTGATGAAGGTTACAGACCGAAGGTATAGACAAAAGGTAATGCGGTAGGTATTTCTCAGGCAAGCACACAGGCAGGGCTCGTATGGGGACTGACCTGAGTGACAATGGGGCTGTACTCGCTAGCCGTTGTACTGGCCGTAGATTTTATAGTTCCCGCTTCGTCAACCGCGGTAGAAACCGCGTCTGATGGCCTACAACTGCGTCTCCTCGTAGTGTCGTCTTTATCACGTCCAAAGTCGAACCTTCTGCTCTCGTGTCTATTACCAAAAACGATCTCGCTCTCTGTCTTTTCTCTTCTAGGCCTCTGAAGACCATCACGATCGAAAGAAAAGTCTGTAAGGACTGGTTCACCGGTATTGACAGCATTGCCCTTTCTACCAGCAATACCGGCGACACTTATTTCGCTTCCGCGTCGATTACCGCTTGCGAATATACTCGACCTTGAGGAGTCCGACTTCTGTAAGTATGCAGAATGTCTCGCGGAAGGGAAAAAATCGGAATTTTCACGGCGAAAAGCACGTGCAAAAGCGCTGGATGTATTGCCAAGCTTTGAATCGCTTTCTTGTCGTCTATGAACCAGCTTTAATTGTTGTTGCTTTTGATGATGATGTTGCTGCTGCTGTTGCTGCTGTTGCTGTTGTTGCTGTTGTTGTTGCTGTTGCTGTTGTTGTTGCTGTTGCTGATGTTGTTGTTGCTGCTGCTGCTGATGGTTTTCGTATCTCCTACGCGATAACTGCTCCTGTCTCTTCAATGTTTTTTCGGTAGACGACGAAGAAAGATCCTCGCTACCAAATTTATTCGTATCAGCCACCTCTTGCGAATGATCTTGCTTCATCTTATCCAACCTTTCGTTAAAACCTTGGAAGAAGCGGGTAAAGTCCCACTCCTTCAGGAGGAGCTGCTCATCCGCCTCGGAGCGCCGGTTGCTGCCAGCCGTAGCGCGATCGTCTGACATCTGACTAAGTTTCTAGGGAGCGCGCACGAGAATAATAATATGGTAACAAAAAAAAAGGAAAAAAAAATATACACAAAAGCGAGGAAAAGAAATTGCGTGCGACGATACATAACGTGTGATAGCTGTGATGGCAGTGCAATGCAATAATTGCAGTTATATGTAATAATATTTGCGGTGATGAAATTATAATAATGTTATGTCGTAAGTTTCGTATTTTTTAATTACTATTTTTGACGTTATCATAAATATATCATGGATTAAATTGTTCAAAATGGACACCAGTCATACGGATCATAGAAATTCTTGTTTTAATTAAACTTATCCCCTTTCTTCTATTGCCACTGGTGTACGAGTTATTCTAGCACAGCACAAACGAAAGATCAGTTTACTAACGAAAAGTATTTATTACTACGGTTTATTGCCTTATCAAATAATTCCGTTGTTTTTTTAATTCGTAAAATGCACGTTTTCATTATTTTCAGCAAACTAGACGTATAAATGTACTTGAACGCTATTTCAATAGCCGCGTTCGAGTCAATTCTTAAATTGAGATTAAATTATACTTTTGATATACATATATATATATTTTATACTATGGTGCATGTCCTTTAAATAAAATCTGTTGTTTTTTTCGAGGGTTTAATTTTTCAATGTGTCATTATAATGTCACCAACGCAATAGTAAAACCTATGATGACAAGTACTCATTAATTGTGTACAACTGTGCAGGAATGTATTGTGTGACAGCAAATGTACAGTCAACGCACCAGGATGCCTCGTAATTGCACAAGATTCAATTACAACGATAACTTGTAATGAATAATTAGAACACAGATAAACAAATATTAGACTTATCTCTGAATATCAATAAACATACAAGTAGATATGTACGTAAAAAGAATAAATATACAATGTAGTCGCTTGTATTTCCTTTATTCAATGAGATACTTATTTCTTAAAAATTTATGAAGAGGAAAAGAATAAAGAAGAACACAGCGACTCCTCTATCGAAACATAATTAAGTAATAGGAAACGAAG